ATATATATATATATATATATATATATATATATATATATATATATTGCCACTTAGTACGGTACTGAACGTTCATCATTGAAGGGTAGCTACATCTTTCGTATTTTTTTATTGATTTGAAAACTCCTTTGGTGATAATTAAAATTTATTTGTCAAATGTGCCTTTACATTTTTTTTTATTAAAACGTATTCAATTTAAATTACACTTATTTCTCATGATGTATGTACGTACTATGAATGTACTTTTGCAGGTCATTCTTCCTTGAGAATAAACCTTTTCTTTTGAAGATTCTTTTGTTTGGTGATAATAAAATATTGATTTGTCAAATGTCGCTTTTAGTTTTTCGATAAAAACGTTTTCAATTCAAAACATACATTTTTCATGTTAATTATTATTTTCATGTTAATTATTAATTGTTAATTCTTTTTTGTTCTACAGTAGGCCTATTCCATTCCATATAGTTATTTTTTATTTTATCTAAGACATTTTGACTTAATTGTGTTACCCCTACTGCACTTTCTTTCCTGCTTGTATACAGTTAAATCTTCATTCCCATCCATTTATAAAACAAATATATTCTCTGTATCTTTTAATTCATTAATCACGTGGTTTCTTAGTTTAAACGTGTAATGAAATAAATAAAAAAATTAATATCTGTCACTGAAACCAAATGTCTTAGATTACCTATTATTAGCATTTGTACGTTGTTGTATCTTGTGAGCCCATGTCTGCCTTGGCGGTATCTAAAGTGATGTGTCTTACCCCCCTTATTGCTTCAACCATGCCACAGCCTCCCCCCCCCAAAAATAAATAAATAAATAAATAAATAAAATAAATAAAAATAATGATAATAATAATACAGCCAGTTGACAGTTTCCTGTCCTAATGGACTAGGAATCACCTGAGATTTTTTTTTTTTTTTTGTGAAACCGTGACCATGCTAGTCATGGTTAGCCCCTATCATCCTTTAAACTTTCTTCCTACGTAGCAGGAAATAAACCGGTTATTTTTCGATTTCTACAACGTTTATAAATTTTGTGTTATTATTTTTTATCCTGCCCCCGCTACAATTATTTTAAAATCATTTTAGACTGTGGACACAGATTAAAAAACAAAATGCTATATATAAAATAGACGACTGGACACTTTATTCCGAAAAATCTAATATAAACTTTGTAAAAATAAGCATTTAATGACGTTTACAAGGTACATGAAACAATAAGTCTATGGCCTTCACATCGTAATACACATGTTGAAAATAAGAATATAGAAATAATAAAACATTTAATAATTAAATATATAAATAAATTAAATATAATTTGATTGCACATCAATAAATACCTATTCCACCTCACATATATATATATATATTAAAAAATGTATAACTCATATATTTAAAAATGTAAAACAAAAATAACATAATATAATTTTGTGTCATTGAACATCGAGCCAAGCTTCAGCTTCACGGACACTATTTCACAATGCTCAAGCTTTCTCCACCGATATATATGTTGCAAGTAGTTTTAAGAGTCCATTAAAAATGTATTATCAAGGGCAATATTTTACCAATTTTTTTGGAGTTTTCTGGGGCATATATATATGCTTAGATATATCTAAAATACAGAGAGTAAGTCCGTCTAATCAAGGCAGTGTTCTTGGACTGTGCAATACTGCGTACTATTGTCGCGTGTGAGTAATAATAGACGTCGCATGTAGGTCCAGGAATATTTTTTGTCTCATATGTGAGTTCTTTGTATGTTCTTTGAATCATGTAGGCCTATAAGTGATAATCAACTGCATGCATTTGCACATATTACATTTACATTTCGATCTCGTCTTTTGACATTGTATTGATGACCACACAGTGAGCTAGCAACAGTACATGTACACCAAGGGGCATTCTCTCTCTGTCTCTCTCTGTCTGCCTCTCTCTCTCTCTCTCTTCTATCTTCTCTCTTCTATATTTCCGTGCACTCCACAGACAGCCGAGGACTGGCAACTCTGAGTGATGTATGAGGACTTTCACAAGGTATGATAATACTAATGATTACAGTATAACAGTGTGCAAACAATTTAGATTGAGCATAAGGCTAAGGCGTGGATAAGTGAATATGTATAAATGATGGAGCTTACGATAGGTACTCTTAATTGTAGGGGCTTAAGAAGTGCCGAAAAAAGAAAAGATGTTTTTGACTATTTAGGGAAAAAACGATATTCTGTGTGCTGCTGACTGGATGCACACTTTACTGAAAAGGATAGAAAAATCATCTCAAATTATCTCATGTTTGGGAGGTATGAAGGAATATGTAAATTATTATCCATAAATGTTCAATTATTTCATGTTTTATTAAATAAATAAAATTGGGTTTTACCCACACCAGAAATGATGTAATTAATACTGAAAAATGTCATCTTTTTATTCTAATTATGCTATTTCGGATGGATACAACATACGAAATAAAAAGCATTATTAACTGTTTGTAAATTTTAATTAATATTTTCTTTAGAGAACCTGTACTCCCTCTTGATGTGTGCAACAGCGACGAAGGAGAAGACCAGTCTGACGAGAATACAGCAGGCCCAAGTGGCCTACAACTGCCTAGTGTATCTCAGTATGAAAAGGAAGTTGAAACGAGGGTTGAAACAATGAAAAAAAGTGGGAGAGGTAGCGTTACGAAATATAAAAAGAGCGCAGCAAGAGCAGAAAAAAAAATTTGACGCTCGCTATTCAACTGATGAGTTTTTGGTGAATTACCCCATGAATCAAACTGATGCATATTTTACTTATAAAGCATTGGTTTAATATAGTGTGACCGTAATATGTACACTGTTTGCCTGGATTATACCAATTACTGGTGGTGCGCCTTGTACATTTGTATACTTCATAGTCAATTACCATTTATATTAAAATTGGATGCAGGTGAACTGTGATTAACGATGCAAAAACACTTATGGTATCTAAATTAATTTTACAGGTACTTACCGTGGGAACAAAAGTGTTGAAAAGAAATTTACGAAGGAGTGACAGAAAGGGGGGCAAACAAGAAATCCCCTGGCTGGGGCCCTACGTTGTGAAGGGGATATCCAAATCTGGGGCTTACATCCTCCAGATTGAAGGCGGGTGCACACTGAAAGGCGCCGTAAACAGGGCAAATTTGAAAGTTTATGCTGCAGATGAATAGATAAAAGAACTTAAATAAATATGTGAAAAACTGAAATAAATATATGAAAATGTAACAAGTGTTATTCTTCATATACCTTTTTTATTCCACTGTATTTGTTTAGGTGAAATATTTTAAAAGTAATGGTAATATTATATTAGTTATCTATCTATCTATCTATCACTCACTTTAAGTGCGAGGGAAAAATGGGAGCGGACATATATTCCTAGTGTAAATCAGGATAACAGGTCCCATCCGGACTTAGATTCCTGGCGGTGGGACATGCATTTTTTGGTAACTGTACGGACGTTAAATCCTAGTAACGTATGTCCTAGGACCTCCATTCCTAGCAACGCTAGACCTACGTTCCCAGGACTTAGTGTCCGGTCGGACTTGCGTTACTAGGACTACCATTCCGTTCACACCGGCCTGAAAATCAAACAGACAGGATAGGATTTTCAAAAACAAAGAAAAGTCTGTAATAAAAAAATCAATACA